TCTGCAAGACAATGTGAAGCCCCTCAGGTAGCCTTGGGTGTTTTATCTGAATCACCAGCATCCCTTTAAACTTGGTATTTTGCTGTGGAGGATACCTGTATATTTCTAAACAAGTAAACTGTCATATGTATTTCCTCGTTGTTCAGAAAGTATGAAACCATGCTTTTGGTTTTTCACTGGACCGTTCTTATTTTAGCAGCAAAATCGGTGAGCCATGAAAGATTTTAACCGTGTCTGCCTTAGTACGGGGTCAGTCATTGACTGCTTGGTGCAGTGGGAAGAGCTGGGAAGCCCGGGTGCTGATAACTCGCTGGTAACTTTGCACAAGGAATCTAAGCTCTCTGCTCATCAGTTTCCCATCAGTATAATAAGCAGGGACCACCCAGGCTCTGAAAGACAGAGTGATCAAGTAAAGATTAGCAGCAGAGCCAACTGGCAAATAGAAGAATACAGAGTTCGTGTCATGGCTAGACTGGAGCTGACTCAGCATATTTCAAAAATGTAGAATTGAGCCAGTGACACACATGTGGTTAATACCCAAGCTGTCAAAGGCCGTAAAATGAGCCTCTTTATTTATCTTTTTTTTTTAATTGTACTTCAGGTGAAGGTTTACAGAACAAATAGTTTTTCATTAAACAGTAGTACACATATTGTTTTATGACATTGGTTAACAACCCCACCACATGTCAACCCTCTCCCTTCCCAACCTTTTTTTTTTTTCTTTATTTATCTTTTAAAAGGAGAGATCCTTTTGTCTACACTGATTTGAGTTGGGATGAAATAACCACTGTGAACCTCTGTTGGTGTTTGGATTCTGTCAGTTTCTAGTAGGAGAAGCTCTTCCTTTACGAATGGATTGTTCTGCTATGTGTCTACCTAGGCTCTTGTATGATAAAAAGGCAAATAAACACAATAAAGTCTCTGCTCATCTCTGGGTGAATAAAAAAAGGTCATCTCTGGGCGCAGAGGACTTCACGGTGTAATATGTATTTCCAAAGGGAAAGCTTGCAAAAGGCAGATGCTGATCCCAATTCTGACCTTTGTGGCTGGGGCCAGATTTGCATTGGCGCCTTGGTTCAAAGGGAAAAGCCGAGAAGTAAATGATAGTTCCCTTCCCCCATCGTCACTCAGCATGGCTCCCTCACTTGGCTATAAAAAATTCCAGCCTCAAGAAAAACTGCAGGCCTTGGAGTATAGTTTTTTATCCAAACGTGCATTCTCCCTTACGGGCAGGAGGTCCACTAAGTTCTAATATTGTTTCAGAAGAGGATGGCCTTGCTTGTTATTTTTTTCACTTTAACTCTTCTCTGTAGCTTGCTTATGCATCGTCGGAATTCCAAAGAAAAAAGTTTTAAACTTGAGTATGCATAAGACTCCCCTGAGGATCCCTGACTCCCACCCTGGTTCACTGGGGCTGGGGAATCTGCATTGTTAATAAGCGGCACAGGTGGTTCTGATTTGGGTGATGAGTAGCGCCCCTTGAGGATTACCACTAGGCACCATGGCCTGCTAGGGGTATCTTATCGCACCCACTGTGTGTGTTCCCTTTATAAGCCAAGTCCCAGTTGCTGCTTTTAGAACTGCACTTAAGCCTAACTACATAAATCATTGCCTGACTTACAATTCCCTGATTTATTCAAATAGCATGGGAAGAACATACGCTTTGGGGTCGGAAAACCCAGGGCAGATCCTTGAACTTGCACTTACTGTTACTTGGACAGGTGGCTCAACTTCTCTGAGGCTCTGCTTCCTCATTCGTCAAATGGGAATGATATTACCCATCCCTCACAGGTAGTGGGGATGGAATGAAATCACTTACATGTAAGCACCTAGCACAATGCCTGCCATTTAGTAGATGCTCGATAAGTACAGTGAAAACTGTGGGAGCCGGAACTCGTTGGGACTGCCTTGTTTTTCTGGGTCTTGCAGGTAATCCACCTTTTATTAGAGAGTGCAGTCTTACCACTTGTCTTAGTTGTCTGGTGCAGCTGTAACAGAAATACCACAAGTGGATGGCTTTAACAAACAGAAATTTATTCTCTCACAATTTACGAGGCTAGAAGTCCAAATTCAGGACACCAGCTCCAGGGGAAGGCTTTCTCTTTCAGTCGGCTCTGGGGGAAGGTGCTTGTCGTCAGTCTTCCCCTGGGTCTATGAGTTTCTCAGACGGGGACCCCAGGTCCATAGGATACACTCTGCTCCCGGCTCTTCATTCTTGGTTGTAGGAGGTCCCTCTTCTCTCTGCTCACTTCTCTCTTTTGTATCTCAAAAGAGATTGACTCAAGATACAACCTAATCCTGTAGATTGTGTCCTGCCTCACTAATATAACTGCCTCTAATCCTGCCTCATTAACATCATAGATGTTAGGATTTATAACATGTAGGATAATTATATCAGATAACAAAATGGAGGACAACCACACAATACTGGGAATCAGGACCTAGCAAAGTGGACACACATTTTTTGGGAACACCGTTCAATCCATAACACACTTGTCTCTTGCTCGTCTTAGTGGAAAGTATTTTAGTTTTCCTTCTCTGACAGGTTTCTGCCTTGTACCGGTTCCAGCTTTCGCAGGTTGTACTGGATTACTTTCCTCTGTAAGAGCCCTAAGGAGCCCTGGTGGTGTAGTGGTTAAAGTGATCGACTGCTAACCGAAAGATCAGCGGCTCAAAACCACCGATCACTCCATGGGAAAAAGATGTGGCAGTCGGCTTCCTTAGAGATTTGCAGCCTTGGAAACCCTGTGGGGTCACCATGAGTTGGAATCGACTTGACAGCAGTGGGATTGGATCCCTGGTGGCACAGTGGTTAATAGCTCAGGCTGCTAACCAAAAGATTGGCAGTTTGAATCTACCAGCCACTCCTTGGAAACCCTATGGGGCAGTTCTGCTGTGTCCTATAGGGTCGCTATGAGTTGGAATCAACTCGATGGCAACAGGTTTGGTTGGGGTTTTTTGTTGTTGTTCTCATCCAGGATCCAGTTGCTGTGGAGTTGATTCCTATTCACGGCAGCCCAATGTGTGTCGGAGTAGAACTGTGCTCCATAATGCTGTGCTCCTTAAGGGCTGATTTTTCAGAAGTAGATCACCATGCGTTTCTTTTGAGGTGCCTCTGGGTGGACTCAAACCTCTTACCTTTTAGTTAGAAGCCAAGTGCATTAACCGTTTACACCACCCAGGGACTCCTTCATTCTTATAGGAGGCAAGAATTAACTTTTAAAAAAAGAAAAGACAAAAGAAAAAAACCTCGTATTTTCTCCTCAGCACTGGAAGCAGATATTGTTAAGGGAAAAATTTTTAAATGCCCAGGTGAATAGTTTTTAGCCTTGATACACATCACTTTAAAAGTCAGTGGTTCTTTAGAGATCTTGACGTAACGCCCTCCTTAATGCCTTTAGATAATAGTGAGTTCTGTTGTAAATACAAGCTTCCAAGAGAGATGTCAGCAGGTAGATAAGGAACGGCAGGTGAACCACAGCATCAGTACCTTTGCAGGACACTCTCGGGGTCCAGTGCAGAGAATGCGATCGGGTGTTTAACCTGAAACTACACCTGCCCCAAGTCAAAATCTCACAAGAAGAGCCTTGTTTCTCAGAATGCAGTTAGTAATGGATTATTTGGACCGTCTTGTTCAAACTCTTTCCAGGCGAAATGAGAATATTACAGAGGTCTGAGAGAAACAAGGAACAATTATGCTCGCAGTGTACAGAGAGCTCCTTGCTGAAAGGTGTTTTCTAAATCGCGTTTCAGCAAGCCCTGCCCACATCTCCCCCATCCATCGCAGTTTTACCATTTGATAAAAAGCAAATCATCGTTGTTCTCTGTGTCAGTTGATGAATTTTAGGGTCATTGCTCTTATCCTATATCCTGCTCATGTAGGTACTTAGTAATACGTTTTTATATATCACATGATTCTTCCTTTGAAGGGCCCAAAGCAGAGGAGGAAACTGATAGCAAAGAATGCCTATCTGAGCTCTCTGGCTGGGAAACTGCATCCTAAAAGTCAACACGTGATTACTTTAAGGCCACAGATACTTTCTTGCTGCCTTCCCCCTTGGCTCCCTGTAAAGGGATGGCTCTAAATTTCTATCTTGTTTTTGGGGCAGGGCAGTCCCAAAGACTTCTGTTCTCTGAAGACCACATTCTGGAAACCAAGAGAATAAGCCCTGTAAGCCTAATCATGTGATTTGAGAGGCTAAAGAGACCTTAGAAATCCTCTGGGCTAACCCTTTTCATTTTACAGAAGAAGAAACTGAGGTTCAGAGAGATCCACACGGTTACTATTTTTTTTTTTAATTACTGTCTGCAGTGTGTGTATCAGGAACTATGTGCAGTAAAGGATCATAATTGGCCTCCAACAGGTTAAATGAGTTGCCACAGTAAGATCAGAAATGACTCTCTGTTAGAGTAGTCTAGAAAGTACCATCACCAATGCTAGTTGCCATCGAGTTGACTCAGCCTAGAAAGTAGCCACCACATACTCATAATAAATGAGCAGTGCATGATGAGCATTCTGCTATGTCCTGAGGAGCTGGGGAAGGAAGGAGAAGTACTGTGGAGAAAAGCATTCACCTTTCTTCTGAGGCATCTCTGGGTGGACTCCAACCTCTAGCCTTTTGTTTAGCAGCCGAGGACATTAACTATTTGCACCATCCAAGGACTTTGAGAACATAAAATAGTGAAGCAAACAAGACCGTATATTTAATTGCCCAACATGTAGTCCTGATGAAGTACTAGAGGAGTTTGGGAGGAGGGAGAGATGGAGGGCTCCACAGAGGAGCAAGCCCAGCGGTTTCCCCTGGGACTGTGAAAGCCACGTCTGTCTTATTTATGTGTGTACCCCACGGTCATGGCCTGGGCGATGCTGAAGTCATGCCTATTAAGTGAATATGTGGATCATTTGATACCAGATTATGGGGATACTTATAGTGACCCCCGTAATGACCCCTTTTGTAAGAATGCTTTCTACTCACATGAACCTTGTGTTTTTCTCTCAGTTGCCCCCCCTCAGGACGCTGCCCCTCCATCAGAGAAGCCAGTCATTCACTGCCATAAGTGTGGGGAGCCGTGCAAGGGTGAAGTGCTTCGAGTCCAGACCAGGCATTTCCACATCAAATGTTTCACCTGCAAAGGTATGGTGCCCCCGCTTCCTGGCTTAGCGGCATGTGACAGTCAGTGCTTGCCTTGGGGTCTGCTCCTTCACCTTAACTCCACCCCGGGTCATGGGATGATAAGTGAATGTGCTCAGAAGCCCTGGAATTATTTACCTCTACTTTGGGGTTCGATTAGACTCAAGGGGGTAAACTGGGAGACCGAGTCCCCCAGCCCAGCGGTGCACAGGTGCGGGTGTTCCCTGAGGTTCCTGGTCCGGGGAGGAGGGCCCAGCATTGTGGCAGAGCGGTACAAAGGCAGTTTTATGTTTTGCGCTCTATCATACTTGTTTTCCTCTGATGAACGAGGGACTCATCACAAAGTAACCTCCTCCCAACACCCACCAGTTACAGGAGGGTTGGAAAGCTTGTAAGATTGGGATGCTAAGTCACTGGCTCCTGTGTGTGAGTGTGTGAGAGAGAGAGTATGACGTGTGTGTGTGGGTATGTAGGTGTGTGGTTTGTGTGTGTGTGTATCGTATGTGTAGTATGTGTGTGTATGGTGTATGTGTGGGGTGTTGTATGCATGTGTGTGTGTGGTGTGTGTGTGTGTGTGGGTATGATGTGTATCTGGTGTGGGTGTGGGTGTGGTGTAGTGTGTGTGTGATGGTGTGGTGAATGTATGTGGTGGATGTGTTTGTGTGTGTGTGTGGTGGGATATGTGTGTGTCTGTATGTCGTGGGTGTGTGTGCGTGTTGAGAAGTAGGAATTAAGCAAGAACACTAGGGAAGCCTTCAAGCAGAAAAATCCTCCCCCATCCCAGAAACTACCAATTTAAGGTTGATTTCCATTAACAAGCCCTCCTTTTTGGGTTTATCATTATTGGCATCTTGGTGTGAAATATGCTGACCTCTTATTCCAGAGCCAGGGCATAGCTGAGTGGGGTAAAAGGGAAGAAGAGAATGGTTCTTGTGTGTTGATTTGAGAATTAGGATACTTGAGCCGAAGGCACATCTGGGTAGCTCTGCATGAGGAGATGTGTCGAGGGCTCAGGACAGGGTTGAAGTGGAGGAAGAGAGATGGAAGAGGGAAGAGGCTATGTGCTTGCTTTGTAGTTTTAGTCCACACCCCGCACATGGTAACCACCTTCATCCCTGAAAATCCTGTTTAATTTTGAGTGTTTTAGGTCACAAAGACTCAGCATTACCATCCTAAGCCTTCTGTCCATGCCAGGGAGGCTCTCAAGCAGATGCCAGGCTGCGTAAAACAACAGCGGCTATTGAGTCGATCCTGACTCATGATGACCCCATGTGTGTCAGAGAAAAACTATGCTCCGTAGGGTTTTCAATGACTGACTTTTAAATAGTAGATCACTAGGCCTTTCTTCTGAGGTGCCTCAGGGTAGACTTGAACCTCCAACCTTTCAGTTGGCAGCTGAGCGCCTTAACCTTTTGCACCGCCCAAAGACTCAGGCTGCCTCCTGACCCTCCAATATGTTAACAAAGAAGGGGCTGGGGCTTTTCCAGAGCCCACAGCTGCTGCTTCCACTGAGCATCAACCTTTCAGGAGACAAAACACTTGCTGGGTCAGAAGGTGGAAGCGAAAGTGAGGGCACCAGCTTAGCTCTCACTGAGTAGTTACAAAACGCTGTGATACGCATTGCATAGAGCGATCACTCAATCCTCCTGAAAACCTCTGTGAGTAAGTAGTATAAATCCCCAGCCTTCAGACAACCCAAAGAAACATCAGGGCCGAGGTCACACCCAGGGTGCTGACTGCTGCCACGCTGTGTGGCTGCATCCCGCCATGGCCGTCAAGCAGCCCTGTGATGTCAGGGAAGCGACCTGTCTCTTTGTGGCTCAGTGTCCTCAGCCATAAAACAGAGAGACTGGACTGCATCTTATTTTAAATCACCCCGTATCTGAAGTTGGCAAATTCTATATATACATGAGCATCTACATGTATAAAATAGAACCCAGAGGCACTCACTTAGATCTTAGGAAGCATGTTGAAGAAAACGTATTTTCTGGTTATGTATAGTTTGACTAACTTGGAGTCAGACATTATATGTTGTTTTATTTTTTGCTCATAAACTCCTGAGGCATGTCTAATGGGTTATTTGATATGAAATGAATACAGTCCAGAAGTGACTGCAGCTCTGTGTGTTTTCCATTTCTACTTGAAACTACAAAGTGTTAGTCTCAGATTTGGGCAACCAACTGTTCAACACATCAAGTTATTAGAAGACACGATAATTTATCCCCAGTGAGGCAGAAGCTCTCTTGCCTGTTTTTTGTTCCCTTGTTCTAGTTTAAATCTAAGGAACGACTATACCTGTTGAAACGTTGTACCATATACTTTGTTTCGTGCTTATAAACGTGTTCCTGAAAAGTTGAATTTTTGAATAAATTGAATCATATTTTAAGAGCACTTGCTATTTGTAGGAATCATTTTCCAATTTAACAAAACCTTACTAAAATAAATAAGTCATTAGTTCTTATAAATTTGTATTTTCTTACACTGAATCTGCCAATTTCTACTGTCTCGTACCCCCAACTTTCTAGGGTCACCCTTTCCTTTAATACCTAAAGAAAGTGCTTTAAGCTCCCTGTACCCCATACTATCAGAAGTTCAAGTCTCTTCCCTTGAGTACTGTCTATGGCATTGTCATCCAACAGAAATATAATACTAGCCGCATATGTAATTCTAAATTTTCTAATAGATAAAAGGGTAAAAAGGGACTGGTGTAATTAATTTTGATAATAATTTATTTATGTAACCCAGTATATCCAAAATAACATCATTTTAACACATAATGAATATAAAAATTATTGGATATTTGACATGCTTTTTTTCATAGTAACGCTGAACACATCTCAGTTGGGACTAGCCACATTCAAGCACTCAGTAGCCAGATGTGGTTGGTGGCGACTGAATCGGACAACACAGTTCTAGAGATTCCTAAAGGTTTGCACTCTTTTGTTCCTCTCTCACTCCAAATTCCTGCCAGATCCAAATGGTCTCCACTTGTGAGCACTATGCTTCTTGCATTGCTTCATCCCACACTGGGCGCCATTTCCTCTTCCTTCGTTTTCTAAAGTAACACTCATTCAAGGCTGCTGTGTTCCGCAGACTTTACAGCAGGCTTCAAGTGCTGGAGCACAAAAAATATCTCATTGGCAAGGGCCATTTCTCATGTTTACTCAGAACCTCATCTGCCGCCATCTTGGTGGGGCTCCTCTCTCTGCAAAGACCCTTCTCCCTTCCATCCTAGTCACACACTGGCAGACTGGGACTTTAAACTTTCTTAGTGTACCCTTTATAAGTCTATTATAGGGCTTTGAACAGCTCATTTTTAACAAGTTCCTGGGAAGTTATACATAAGAATCACCTGGGGGATCTTATTCAACTGTATATTCCGATTCAGTATATCTGGGGTGGAAATGCAAATTCTTAGCAGGGGTTTGAACCAGAACGACCTGGTTTGAAGCCATGGTCTGTTATGATGGTTTCAGAAGAAACAGCAATCTTCTGCCTGAGGAATACCATTTTATTCCCCGCCCAAGCGACACCTAGAACCGATTAAATCCATTGCCGGCGAGTCGATTCCAACTCATAGCGACCCTATAAGACAGAGTAAACTGCACCATACGGTTTCCAAGGCTGTGATCTTTAGGGAAGCAGACTGCCAGATCTTTCTTCCACTGAGCAACTGGTAAGTTCGAACCACTGACCTTTCGGTTAGCAGCTGAGCGCTTAACCATTGTCCCACCAGGGCTCGCTAAGTGACCCAGACTGCAGCTTATTCTTAAAAAAAAAAAGAACAGTTTTGTTTTCTTCCTATTACATACAAAGTAGAGTTGTCAAGTACAGATTCTGAGCTGATGGCCTGGGACAGAGGATTTGGGGTGGGAACACATACCAAAACAAGCTTGGCTTATGGTTGGTTGGTCGCTGGTTGAGTGCACATGAGGCACATTCAGGTTTTAAGGTGGTTTCAGGACCAGCCAGCATTTCTCCCTCAAGTTCTTCCCCTCCCTCCCACCTCCACTCTCCTTCACATCTATACATGTTACTAAAGCCTCCTGATTTTTCAATGGGCCAGAGGTTGCTTTCCACAATTGGAAAGAAAGGCCGAAAAGGCAAGTACTTAGGAGAACTAAAAGCAGAGATGAACTCTTTTGCTAAGAATGAGTTTTTCAAAGCAGAGGGGAAAAAGGACGAGGAACATCTTAGACAAGAACTAGAGGAGTACAAAGGTAGGAGAGGGTTACAGGGGAGGAAATAAAGAGTGCATGGCATAAACTTTAACCAGTTTTCAGATTCTGTAACTTCACAGTTTCAACTATAACAGGATTAGAGTTGGTGAGCAGGAATTTTGTTGGTGAACCCATCTTACTTCCTGAAATATCTGACGTCTTTGGATCTGATGGTAAATGTTCATTTAACACATACTATATACAGGATATTATGCTGAGTGCTGAGGATAGGAAGAGACAAAACACCTTGTGTGCTCTCAGAGAACTCATGAGGTCTTTGGAGAGACATATAAATAAGCAACATTTATGGTACCCAGTATAAAAAGTGCTGTGATGAAGAGGTGTATGTGATACAGATTGGAGGCAGGGAGACCCAGAGGGAAGCTATAAGGTAGTCCAGGTGGAAATAATGTGAGGTAGCAGCAGGTGTGATAGGGACTAGGAGATAGATTTAAGAGAAACTTAAAGTTAAGGCTGATGGGATCTGATGCCTGAGTGGATGTCAGGCGTGAAGAAGGAGCCACGTTCTGGTTAGACTATCTGGGTGGATGGATGGAGTTGTCACCAACTAAGGAAACACAGGAGAACTTGGTGGGATGGTGCTGGGGAGAGAGATAACAGTTCAGTTCGGAACACGCTGAGGTCAAGTGCACGTGGTACATCCAGAGTCCAGTATGCTTACCGCCAAGAGATAGTGTTCTGTATTAGGAAGAAGGGTTTGGGAGTCTTTGGCATCTGGATAATGGCTGAAGCTGTGATTATATGTGAAATTTCCCTGGGAAA